CGAGAAGATTGGTGCCTCCGCATATCGCTTGGACATTCCCCCAACGTGGAAGACACATAACGTGTTCAACGAGGCTCTCCTCACGCCCTACACCCCGCCCACTTTCGCAAACCAAGCCAACCCGCCAGAGCCCCCACCTGAGATGATTGACGGTGAAGAACGATACGAGGTCGAGGCCGTCATTAACTCCAAGGTCATTGGCCGAGGCGCACACCGGAGCATGATGTACTTGGTCAAGTGGAAGGGATACTCAGACCGCCACAACAGCTGGGAGCCAGTCGCCAACTTGATGCAGGATGCCGACGAAGCAATTGACGACTACCACAAGGCACATCCGCGACGCATGCGTGTCTAGTCGTGGGCGACTAGCCTGAAGGGAGGGTGATGTTACGGACACCCAATTATCCATTATCTTTTTTTTTTCTTTTCCCTTTTCCAGACTCTCACGTGACGCGGCAATCCCCGTGACTCACGCTCAACTCATCTAGTTCTCGCGCCTTGTTTACGGTTGTTTGCCTTGTCATACCTATATAAGACTCCGCCCCTGCTTGTAACTTACTCTTAACCTTGATCTAGTCTATAAACCGGCTACCTAGCCGCTTATCTTGGTTAACCTCGCTCGCCCTTGTCTTCGTTAGTAAGCGGCCGCCTAGCCGTTGCTGACATTGTGAGAGGTACCCAATTTGACGCTGAGGTTGTTGGATCGGTTAGGGTGACCACTAAGTACGACACTGAGCTTCTTCTCGACCTTGTCAGCGTGTGCACCCTCACGAGTCATAGCAGCACATGCCTCTTCGAGCTGCACACTCCATCCGGCGATTCTTGCCTCAGCCGATAGACTGGCAGGGTCTTTCCATATGCACTCCTTGGCGTCAAATGCAAGAGTAGGCCGTATGTGCGCCCAGCTCTTGCTGTCATCGATCTCCTTGTTCTCAGCAATCGCGACGATACCGTCTCGGATCTGCGATGCAGGAGCGTCGAGGAAGCCCACAAGTGTCCCAAGCTTGCGTGCAACTTCCGCTTTGGCTGCTGCGACATCATCGTCTGGAGGCGGGACATAATCCGAGGGCGTGCTGCCCGGGTTCGTCGTACCGGGCATAGGATGCGCAAGCAAATCGTGCAACATGAGATGTGCAACCTCGGTGTCGATCAAGCACTGCGCCTGCTCATCCAACATCTCGTCTACAGGGATGAGTTGCAGCTCATTGAGAAGCGTTGTCAGATCC